TTCCCTCATCCTCCCAAAAGTAATCCTTCCCTACTCTGAAGTGCTCCCTCCTTCTCTCAACTTCAGCACTTTCTACCTCCTTCCAACACTTATTTTCTACTTTACCACTGTGGTAGCCAGTGTCCAAGATGGTCCCCAATGATCCTGACCTCCTGCCATTCACATCCTTGTGTAGTCCCTTCCCACAATGTGTGGCCCATAGAATACTGTAGAAATGACAGTATGTGACTTCTGAAGCTAGGTCATAAAAAGCAATGCAGCTTGGTCCTTGGATTACTTGCTCTGGGGGAAGCCAGCTGCCATGCCATGAGGGCATTCATGTAGCTCTGTGGAGAGGCCCACATGGAGAGGAACTGAAACCTCCCACCAACAGCCCACACACACTTGCTGGCCATTAGTAGCCATGTTGGAAGAGGATCCAACAGCCTCAGTCAAGCCCCTCAGATGACTGCTACCTCAGCTGCCATATTCCTACAGTCCTGTGAGAGACCTGAGCCTGAGCCACTCCACCAAGTTGTTCCCAAATTCCTCATTCACAGAAACCGTGAGAGATAATAATGCTTATTGTGGTCTTAAACGCCAACTTTTGAGGTAATCTGTTACACAGCAATAGATAGCTAACACACCCACTCTCCAAAACTCTTAAGTTCCTTGACTATTGCCTTGATTCTCAAAACTCTATTAAGGCCTTAGACACAAACAGTGCCCATATTTGTTGAATTGTGTTAATAGGCCATTTTCTTTGTTCAATGTTCCTTTTCTTCCAAAATGTACCCATTTATAAACTACTCCCTATGCCTATACTACCTTCATCTACAACCCAATGTCTTCCCTTTTCTCTTTCAAAGACCTTCTGAAATATAACCTCCTGATCAAAGTTTTTGCTCAGAAGATGAAAAAATCCTAGCATTTATATATATATATACACACATGCAGAGTAAATATATATTTGTTCATGTTCGTCCTATATTCAAGAAATATTTACTGAGCACCTACTATGTCCCAAGAACTGCTCTTGAAGCTAAGAACAAAAGAAACAAATATTCTTGCTCTTGGGGAGCTTATCATCTAGTCTATACTCCTGCCATAGCATTTTCTCTAAATTACTACAACATTCTTTACTAATATGACTTCAAAATTCTTCGTAAATTAATTGGCCATATATCTACAAATCTTTTTTTAGCCCATACACCTAAATATTTAAGCTGCAGTCTCAAAAAAAAGTCTACACCTGTTTAACAAACTTTGTAAAGAACCCCATTTAGAATCTATATGTATCAATGTCCTCCACTTTTACTGAATGCTCCCTCAGGCCACACTTTTTAGGAAATACCGTCACATTTACTAGTATAAAATAAACAAAATTTGATAGAGATAATCTTTATTATATAGTCTTAGTGACTCTAAATCAAATATGAAATATTAAATTTCACAGAAAGTAATTTGTAGTAGTAAAATGATATTACAGCATGGTTAGAACTTTCTAACCTCCTTTATATTTACTTCTACAAAGCAGAGTTAAAAGGAAAAGAGCATACTACATTTTTTTTTTTTTTGAGACAGAGTCTTGCTCTGTTGCCCAGGCTAGAGTGCCATGGCGTCAGCCTAGCTCACAGCAACCTCAAACTCCTGGGCTCAAGCAATACTTCTGTCTCAGCCTCCCGAGAAGCTGGGACTACAGGCATGCGCCACCGTGCCCAGCTAATTTTTTTTATATATATATATTTTTAGTTGTCCAGATCATTTCTTTCTATTTTTTTAGTGGAGACGGGGTCTCACTCTTGCTCAGCCTGGTCTCGAACTCCTGACCTTGAGCGATCCACCCGCCTCGGCCTCCCAGAGTGCTAGGATTACAGGCATGAGCCACCGCGCCCGGCCCATACTACGCTTTTAAGTCAGAGATTCAAGTCCTGGCTCTATCACTAACACTGTACCCCTAGATTAGTTATTTATAATAACTACTCTGAGCCTCAGTTTCCCTATTCTAAAGCTTGGCACAGTGGTACATGGCTGTAATCCCAGCTACTTGGAAGGCTAAGGCAGAGGATCACTTGAGCCTAGGAGTTTGAGATCAGCCTGGGCAACACAGTGAGACCGGGTCTTAAAAATAAATAAATAAAGGTAAAATTGACCCAGTATGGTTTGTGTGAGAATTAAATAATACATTAAAAGCCTAGCTTAATGCTTGTTACATAGGGAGCATCAAGGAATGTTTCTTCCCCTTTCCTGGGGCATATAACTGCTATGTCAGATTTGTCAGGAAACCTTTCTAAACTCAGTTACTTCTCTCTGGAATGGTCTTCCTCTTCTTCAGCTAAGATTCAGCTCAAATGTCGTCTTCTCTTTGAAACTTTCCCACACATCCAAAGGAAAAGCCCCCTTCACTCTCCCATACAATTCTGGGTTTGCACTTAAGAGTTTTTTTCAGCGTATTACAATCATCTGTCACTTTCTGCCACTACACTGTGAGCACCTCAAGAGTAGGGATCATATCTCACTTATCTTGATAACCCCAGCTCTTTAGAAAAACACTTGGCACATTAAAGGCATGGAACAAAAGTTTGCTGAATGAATAAATGAAGTTATTCCTTAAATAGTATCTGTAATTACTACTGGGTGACCCAAACTTTATGGTTTTGCCCTTTATGGGCTGAGTTCCTTTTTCATATTTTTTGAATCCCTCCACAATAGCACTTGGCAGAGTACTAAGGACATGGAAAGTCCACAATAAATACTTTTGGATGATGGGATACTTATTACCCTGCCATCTCTCATGATTTGACTCTAAATAAAAAACTTATCATAGTGGATGTGACTTTTGGAAGCCTTTTAAAAAAGGGGCTGTTCTTAACAGTTATTGGCAAAGAACTAAAGCAAGTGCCAGAGCTAGATTATAGACACTTTTTCTTTGCACGTGCTTTTCTTTTTTTTTTTTTTTTTTTTTTTTTTGAGACAGAGTCTCACTCTGTTGCCCTGGCTAGAGTGCCACGGCATCATCATAGCAAACTCCTGGGCTCAAGTGATCCTACTGCCCGAGCCTCCCGAGTAGCTGGGACTACAGGCATGCGCCACCATGCCCGGCTAATTTTTTCTACATATTTTTAGTTGTCCGATTAATTTCTTTCTAATTTTAGTAGAGGCGGGGTCTCGCTCTTGCTCAGGCTGGTCTTGAACTCCTGAGCTCAAACAATCCGCCCGTCTCGGCCTCCCAGAGAGCTAGGATTACAGGCGTGAGCCACGGCGCCCGGCCTCTTTGCATGTGTTTTTGAAGAAAGTAGTAATGGACTGCTTCTTTCTAAATCATTTCATTAAGAAACTGAATAACATAAAATCTTTTGATTTGCTATGAAAAATGCAAATGGCATTAGGCAAAACTTAGTTTAGCAACTTTCAGCCAAAGGTTCCCCACCCTGCAGTCATGGGGCTATGGGCCAGCTGGCTGTACCACCTCACCCCTGGGAAGTGGCTGCTTTTCAACAATAAAACTGCTTAAGAGAAATTTGGAGTTTTTTGGGGTCTTCTAAAGTAAAACACATAAGTTTAACTTATTGAAAATAAAGCTTACGTTACAGGCTTTGGCTTCACGTAGAAAAGATGCTGAAAAGATCTCAAAAACTTGCAACTTGGGGACATTCCAGACATCTTATAAGTTTAAAATTATGTAAAAACACATGAAGCGTAGGTGTAATTTCATTACTACATTTAAGTGATGTATTTCACATTCCTGTGTACACACAATTCATGCCAAGTATAGGCTGGGCCTGGCACAGTGGCTCATGTCTGTAATCCTAGCACTTTGGGAGGCCGAGGCAGGAGGATCACTTGAGGCCAAGAGCTGAAGACCAGCCCGGGCAACAGTGAGACTCCATCTCTACAAAAAATTTTTTAAAAAATTATCTGTGCGTGGTTGCCCACGCCTATAGTCCCAGCTACTTTGGAGGCAGAGGCAGGAGGACAGCTTGAGCCCAGGAGTTGGAGACTCTGGTGTGCTATGATGATGCCACTGCACTCTAGCCCTAGCAACAGAGCAAGACCTTGTCTCAGGGAGGAAAAAAGAAAAAAACTATAGGCTGACAAGCAGTTAACTGTCCACCAAACCGCCCTTTAGTTATGCTACAGAACAGGGAGAAAACAAAGAGAAATCCTGACAAAGCTAAGTTGTGCTGGTGATTAAATACACACTGGTCTCCCAGTGGTTCTCAACAACACACGAGCAAGCATCTCTTGGACCCTTACTATGTGCCAAGCACTGAGTCAAACATTTTGTGTGAAATATTTAATACTTACAACAACCTTATGTCGTTAGTACTATTATTATCCCCATTTTTCAGGTGAGGAAACTGAGGCCTAAGATTACACATCTAGCAAGTGACAGGTCTGGGAATCTGACCTGAAAGCTCCAGCCATCGTTAGGTATCAACGCTTTCTAATGGTACCCGCAGTGGGGTTTGGGGGATGGTAATCAAGGTGTCCAGGCAAACACTTTAACGGGTAAAGTTCTTAGCCGTCAAGTTTCAAATCCGCAGAGAACTCTGTACACCTGGAAGCATTCAGGTTACCACACAGGCATCAACAAGTCCAGGTGAGCCTAACTGCCTGGGAATCCTGAGGATTGCACTCGGATCCTGAAGGTTTGCACGAGATCTCAGAGAAAGCGGCCGACACCCCGTCCCCGCAGTCAAAAACACACCCAGAGCGCAGCGAGGGCGGGGTCCTCCGTGTCTCCCCACCCAGCAAGGCCCGGCCGGCCCGGCCAGGCGGTGCACAGGTGCACTGCCGCGCCCGAGTGCCCCGGCCCCGGCTCAGTGACCGTGGCTCTGCCACTCCGGCCCCGAGAGGAGGGGCGGGGCGGGAGAGCAGCGGGGATGGGGCCGGAGGCTTGAGGCCTGCCCCGCCGGACCCCCCGAGGGCGCGCGCGGCGGGGTCGCGAGGAGAAAGGATGCTCCGGGCGAGGCGGGGCCGCGGTGGGGGAGGGGTCTCCTGCCCGAACTCTCACTCACCGCCTCGCTCTCCTGCCGGCCCCGGCTCCGCGGCTTGCCCCGCTCCGGCTCTAGCCGCTCGCGTCTCCTCCCAAGGCTCAACGTCCAGTCAAGGCGCGCGGAGCTGAGAAGAAGTCGGCGCAAGCGGACGGCGTGTGGTGAGCGGAGCCGAGGGGGTGGGGAGGATGGGACGGTCGCTCTCGCCTCCGCGGCCGCCACAGACACTGCCGCCGCCGGCTCCTCTCAGCCGCGGAAGCTGCGGGCCCGCCCACCACGCCTGCCTCCCGCCCTCTACATTGCTCGCCAAAGGAGTGACAGCGGTACTGGCCAATCAGAAGCCTTGTCGAGGCCAGGGCTCGGCGGACTGGGGTGGACAGAGAAGGAAGGGGAATGCAGGAGACTAGGACGGCGGCGCGACTTCCTGTGACTGACGGCACGGCGCAGCCAATGGGCAGCGGGGAGATGACCTCATCGCCGAGGGAAGTCTGGAACTGGAGGAGCAACGGCGAGGAGGTGGGAGGAGGTCGGCGACGAGCCGAGGGGCGGGGCGCTGGGCCCTTAAAGAGGCCGTAGTCCGTTGGTCACCCTGTCAAGGGAAGGGCGGTGGACCCGGCTGGATCTTGCCAACTTGCAGAGGAGTCAGTGCCCAGCCGCGAGCAGTGAGTGCGTTAGTCCTCCAGACCCCATCCTCATTCTTCTCGGGGGCTGAAGAGTCTCTGCCTGAGCCGCCCAAGTCCATTATTTCACATCCACGCTTCCCAAAAGGAGACATAAATTCCGCTCTGGCTTGGAGCCCTGAATTCCCGTTACAGTCCCCGCCCCACCGAGGCCCGTCGCCTTGTTTCTCTGAGTCAGTTTCCCCAACGGTAAAAGGGAGGATACTGACACCTACCTACCCTTCCCTACCTGCCGAGGATGTTGAGATCAGCCGCAGCGAAAGTGCTTTGGGCTTGGAGAAGGAAAAGGGCTGAATGAACCAAAGAGCTTGTATCAGGAGACTCCAGGAAGAGCATCTGTAAAAGGGAGGACTCCACGAGATGACTCCCGACGACTCTTGCAGTTCTAAAATTTTAAAAGCTAATGTCCTACTATTTCCGGCATCCACTCGTATAGAAGGCGTGTGTGTGCCTGTGTCTGTGTGTGTGTCTGTGGGCGCGAGCATTAGGCGCAGAGGCCACACAGCAAGAAGGTGTGAAGTCCGTGACTTCAACAAGGAGAAAGCACACAGGCTCAAGGGGACACACAAGTTAAGCACGGCCCGCTGCGGTGAGAGCCATGGTCACGCAGGCCCTTAGCGCCTCTCCCCCACAACAGTGGGAGGGAGCCCAGAAAAGGAGAAATAACTCCAACCTGGTGGGTTGGGAAAGAAGGGGAAGCACTTTCCCCAAGGCTTCCTGGGGCTAGGTCAGCAGGCAGAGTTAGAGGAAGGAGTAACAGTAGCTAGAGGGAGGAGGGAACTGGGTATCCTTCTAGATTTGGGGAGGATCAGGACCGTGTGAATGCGCCAAGACTGAAAAGTGGCGACTCACTTCACATTCCAGAGTAAATTCTTCTCAAAGGCCTCCAGGACTGCCCCTTGCTGTGAGGCTCGGAGGTCCGGAGAGGGTGCTGCTCTATCCAACAGCTGCAAAAGCCATGGTGGCCCTAGGTATTCCCAAGTATTCATCTATAAGTCAGCTTCCAGTTCAATATCGCGTGCTGGTCACAGAATCTTCGAGTTAGGTGGGATCCTTGTGGTCCCTTAGTCACACACTTTCCTTAAAGGCAAAAATCCTTCAACAAAAGCCTTGATAAAATTATTTATTCAATAAATATTTGTCGTATAAGACAGATGAGATACAGTCACTGCCCTGGGGATGCTTACCAAACTGGGAAAGCAAAGGCACATCCCACAGAGACTTCAGTGCTAGGCTGTGTGTCTGTCCCAGGTGTTGCCTCAGA